CAATATTTGTTCTTTTTTGTATAGCATATTTCAATTAGCATAATGTTTTTAAGGTTCATCCATGTTGAGCATGTATTAGAATTTCATTCACTTTTATGGCTGAATGTATGTACCACATTTTGTCCATTTGTCTGTTAATGAACAGTTGGGCTGTTTCTACCTTTTGGCCGTTTTGAATAGTGCTGCAGTTAACACTGGTGTACAAGTATCTGTTTGAGTCCCTGCTTTCTATTCTTTTGGGTATTTACCTAGGAGGGGAATTGCTGTGTCATGTGGTAGTTTTTGAGGACCTGCCAAATTGTTTTCCATAGCAGCTGCACCATTTTACATTCCCACCAGCAGTGCAGGAGGATTCCAGTTTCTCCACATCCTCACCAACACTTGTTATTTACCAATTTTTTGATATCTTAGTGGGTGTGAAGTGATACCTCATTTTGGTTTTAGTTTGCGTTTTCCTAATGACTAATGATGTTGAGCGTGTGCTTTTCATGTGCTTATTGGCTATTCATGTATCTTCTTTGAAGAAATGTCTTTGGAGAAATGTCTACCTACTTTTTAATTGTTTGTCTTTTTGTTGTTAGTTGTAGGAGTTCTGTATAAATTCTGGATGTTAAATCCTTATCAGATATATGATTTGCAAATATTTTCTCCCAATCTGTAGGTTGTTTTTTCTTGATAATGTCCATTGATGCAAAAGGTTTTTAATATTGATGAAGTCCATTTTATCTATTTTTTTTTCTTTTGTTGCTTGTAGTTTTGATGTTATAGCTAAGAATCCATTGCTAAACACAAAGTCTTGAAGATTCACCCTCTGCGTTCTCTTCTAAGAGCTTTATGGTTTTAGCTCTTATATTGCTGATCCATGAGTTAATTTTTGTATAGGGTAAGAGGTAGGGGGTTCTGTCTTAGTTATCTAGTGCTGAATAACAGAAATACCACACACGGGTGGCTTTCACAAACAAATTTATTTGCTCACAGTTTAGGAGGCTAGAAGTCTGAATTCAGAGTGCCATCTCTAGGGGAAGGCTTTTTCTCTCTGCCGGCTCTGGAGGAAGGTCCTTGTCTTTTTGAGCTTCTGCTCCAGGTGACCTTATGTGGCTTGGCATCTCTCTTCCCCCATCTCAGCTTCTCTCACTTACTTGTTTAATGTTTTTTATATTTCAAAAGAGATTGACTCAAGACACGTTCTACACTAATTTTGCCTCATTATCGTAACAAAGACAGCACATTCCCAAATGGGGTTATAACCATAAGTATAAACTAAAATCCAAACCTGTTGCCATAGAGTCAATTCTGACTCATAGTGACCATATACAACAGAATAGAACTGCCCCATAGGGTTTCCAAAACTAATCTTTATGGAAGCAGAATGCTGCATCTTTCTCCCATGGAGCGGTTGTTGAATTTGAACCGCCGGCCTTTTGGTTAGCAGCCCAGCTCTTAACGACTGTGCCACCAGGGCTCCTTTTAACATATATAATCGCAATGGTTAATGTGCCCAATATATAAGGAGCTCCTATAAAACAAGGATAAATAACGTAGCAGCACATCCTTATGGTGGTGTTAGAAGGATGTATAGCACAGTACTGCCCAGCCCAGAGTGAGCATTTAATAATGGGAGCAATTTCTTTTATTATTTTTACTAGACCATTGTGTTGATTTGTTGAATGCACTATTTCTTATATACCTTTGGGGATGGAGGTGAGTAATTTCTGGTTTTGGGGGGTCTTTTTTGCTTAAGAATGGATTAATTATATGTTGTATCCTTTTTTTCTTTTATAAACTTGGAGGGAAAAAAATTCAATAAGGAACCTCAAAAACCAAATACTACTCCAGTGTGGCAGATTGTCAGGGCCACTCTATACTGACTGTGTTGAAATATTGGCCCCAGTGGTCTCTGAAGAGATGCCTGTCCTGTCACTTGGTTGGAGCGTGCACTGTACATTGTTTTCTCTTTGACCTTGGACTGATGTGTGTAACCCATGACTAGGGGTACAGCACATAGAGAGGGGTGTGCCCTGTCCAGATTCTAGAAGGACAGAGAACATATAGACGCTAAGGCAAGGAGAGCCTGTCCTCAGCACTGGCTTCCCCGTTGGTTCCCTCAGTCTGTGGTAAGAGCGTATCCTCTGGTTTGCAGCGAGTTTTCATTCTAGCCCCCATGTGCAGGTGAGTAGTGTGATGATTTAGGGAAGACCCTGATGGGTGATGTTGGCATCCCTGAGGAGGAGGGCAAGCCAAGCAGATTGCAAGGCTTTTTGCAGATGTGTGTTGGGTCGGACTCTGGTCCTCTCAAGCTTTGCACACATATATAAAAATGGAACTGAAAAGTATTTTCATTTGTACCTAATTTGTGAAAGCTGTGAATTCATGGTAGGAGGTTATGAAACCAACTCAGAAGGGTTTCCCAGTGAGAGTAACTATATCCCATATGTCTCCCCAGAACTAAGTAGGAGTCGGAGACTTTTTCTGGAGCTCTGGGCTGTGAAATAAACCAGACATCTCACTGTGGCTGTTGAGGGGCAGGTGGGAGAGCAGCAGAGGCAGCACCCACCCATACTGTTTAGCCTGCCCCCGGGGTGGTGGGGGGAGTGGCTTTAGTGAGTCAGTACGTTCATTACCTCCTACCTTTGCTGCCTTCACCACCTCATACTTCTCGGAAAGCAGTTGGGCATAGTATAGCAACCCAGAGGGTGGCAGTGATTATTTGAGAAGGCACATACTTCATTTCAGACCAGATAGGTATTATCAGCCTAGATTATTTGTCAGTCCTGAAATAGACTTGGCACACCAGGCAGGCTGTCTGCTTATGGTATAGCTGTGGTGGTGCAGGACTGGCTGGTTCTAAACTGTGCTTGCATTTTAGACCTGGGCTGCAATACTGGAGAATATCTTTATCATACAAAAATCAAGAAAAACAAAAGCTAGTACATTCAGATCTTTTATCTGGGTTGCACTTGGAAGGTTGTGGTTTACTGGATGCTGTATGTTCAAGTCCTAATCTCTACCTTCTCAGCTGTCATATGGGGAAAATAACACCAAGTTCATAGAGATGTATAAGGATTAAGTACCGCCAGTTCCTCCCTCTTCTGGATATCTTTCTATCAACCCAGTCAATGTGAAACCAAGGCTGAAATGTAGTAGGGTTGATTTTCTTATCACTGTAGCAACCTGTTTTCCATTTTAGTTTCTTAAGAGCAAAATCCATGATACCCTGACCACTGATCAGAGAGCAGAGAGGGGGGCATTTTTTTTTTTTTTAAGCTCAATGATTCATTTATTCACTTAGCAAATATTTTTCAAGCATCTGCTGTGTGCCAGACGACACTGTGCTGGGTGCTGAGGATACAAAAACGAGTAGCTGACAGCCCTCAGGAAGGTCACACACAAGTGGCAAAAGTAGTTATAGTGTGGTTGATGAAACAGTGGAGATGGGCAGAGGACGTATGGGAATACAGAGGAAGAGCATCTCCCTCAGCTTGGGTTGATGGGGAGTTTGTTGTGGGGGTGGAGTGAGAGTGGAAGAGGAATGTGAGCAAAGGAAACCTCTTGAATAAAGACATGAAGTTAAGAAATGTGATGGTATGTTTGGAGTTCTGTGAGCAAACTGGTATTGCTGGAGTGGGGAGAGATGAGGCTGGAGAGATAGGAAGGGGCTAGATCAAGAAAGGTCTTGTGTGCTATGTTAAGGGGCTCAGGCTTTATTCAGTGGGTGAGCAGTTCTCAAGGGAGAGGAAATGCCCATTTGCATTTGCAACAACCATAAAATTGAGGACCCCTGGGTCTGGATATGCTTGTATGGAAGGTGGCTTGGAGAACTTGAGACCTGAGGCTCCTTTTAGGAAGACCTGTAGTAGCCCTTGGGTGGCGCAAGTGGTTAGGCACTCTGCTGCTAACCAAAAGATTGATGGTTTGAGATACTTCATAAGAACGGCCTGGTGGTCTGCTTCCAAAAGGTCAGTCATTGAAAGCCCTGTGGAGCACAGTTCTACTTTGACACACGTGTGGTCTCACCATGAGTCAGAATTGACTGAATGGCAACTGGTTTGTAGTTGTCTAGGGCCAGAGACAATGAGGGCTATAGGAAGTAGGGATGGAGAGGAATGGGTGGATATAAATTTAAGACTTGAATAATTAGAGGAAGAGAGAATGAGAAGCAGGGACCAAGTATGACCAGGGCTCTACTTTTTCTGTTTGAGACCCTGCTCATATTCTCCCTCTTTAGGGAAATTTTTTTCTGACCGTTGGCTCAAACTTTGCTGTATAACTCTGACCCTGATTGCCTCTCCTCATTACATCTTGACTTACATTGTTTGTAAGTTTGTTTTACTTTTTCTAATAGGCGGAGGCTCTTAAAAGTTAGGGCCTGTATCACACTTTTTTGGGTGCAATTTTAGGTATTTAATATTTTTTATGCATAACATTATTGGGGCTTTATGCAATTTATTCCATGTAGTTCTGATTTTTTTCTAAGAGAAGGAAGAGATGAATACAAATGTCAAATGGGAGGTTTCCTCATCCAGAGGAATACCTTGATGACTTGTGAGTCTAAAAGGGAGTTTAAAACATCAAATACATGTTGAAATCAGCCGAAAGAATGTTGAGAGAGTGGGGTTTTAGAAGAATAGGCTAGCTTTTTTGCCATTTAGTTCTGGAAACAATTTACCTAGAGAGGTTTCTCTATTGTGTTGGCAGTGTTTTGATCATCTAGAAAAGCTGTGAGGCAGAATTAGGTCCCTGGGGGGTGCGAATGGTTTGTGCTCAACTATTAACCTAAAGGTTGGTGGTTCGAACCCACCCAGCGGTGCCACGAAAGAAAGGCCTGGTGATCTGCTTCTGTAAAGATTACAGTTGAGAAAACCCTATGCAGCGGTTCTACTCTGTAACACATGGGGTTGCCATGAGTTGGAATCAACTTGATGGTAACGGGTTTGATTTGGTTTTGAAGGCCAAATTAATTGTTGTTTCTGAGTGGTTTGTGTTTCTGATTCTCTGTGCAGGTCTAGAGCCCGAGGCCCAGTGTGAACTGTCGCCTGTGAACGCCTCCCATCCCGTGCAGGCCTTGATGGAGAGCTTCACCGTCTTGTCGGGCTGCGCCAGCAGGGGCACGACGGGGCTGCCACAGGAGGTGCACATCCTGAACCTCCGCGCTGGGGATGAGGGGCCCGGCCAGCCCCAGAGAGAGGTAGGCGTGGGGGTCAGCTTTCAACCCACTGTTCCTCTGAGTTTGTAAAGACAATTTTTTTTTTCCAGGAGCTGCCCATTTGTTTTCTTTTTAAAAATTTTTTTTTTATTGTACTTTAGATGAAGGTTTACAGAACAAATAGTTTCTCATTGAACAGTCAGTACACATATTGTTTTATGACAATGGTTAACAATCCCACAACATGTCAACACTGTCCCTTCTCAACCTTGAGTTCCCTATTACCAACTTTCATGTCCCTTCCTGCCTTCTAGTCCTTGTCCCTCGACTGTTGTGCCCCATTAGTCTCGTTTTGTTTTACGGGGCTGTCTAATAATTTGGCTGGATGGTGAACCTCAGGAGCAACTTCATTACTGAGTTAACAGGGTGTCCGGGGACCATATTCTCAGGGTTTCTCCAGTCTCTGTCAGGCCAGTAGGTCTTTTTTTGTGAGTTAGAATTTTGTTGTACATTTTTCTCCAGCTCTGTCCAGGACCCTCTGTTGTGATCCTGGTGTAAAGATAATTTTAATGAACAAAGAGGTCTTTTCTTCCGTTCTGGGGCTTAACGAGGATGCTGACCTTTGAACAGAAGTGAGGAAGAAGAAACAACGTACACGGAAGAGAGATGGATTTCGAATCATGAATTGCCCTTTGGACAGGGCAACGGGACTTCTCTCTCTAGGGATTACTCAGCTCTCCCCTTCCCCTTGGCCTCCATGTGGGAAAGAATGATCTTAAGAATTTCATTTTCTAAACAAAATGAGGTGCCATTTCGCCATGATTATAATAGGTCTTTCGCACCTCCTCCTGTGCCCTCTTTTTTCTTTCCTTGTTTTGTCGTATGAACCTATTGCTTCTGTAGGATAAATGAGGGGGAAATGGGAACACTCTGGAGTAAAGATGCCGGTACTTGTACGTGGCTTACAAAGCCCTGAGGGTCGCCCCTTATCAGTATCCAGGCAGCTTCTCAGGGCTGATGGTGGTTGTGATGATGATGATGATAGAAGCTCACAGTTACTCAGTATTTACTCCATGCTCAACACTTATTTGAAGCATTCATGCTTGCACCAATCCCATGAAGTTCTATTACTATCCTCATTTTACAGGTAAGGTAATGGTTGCAGTGAAAACTCACTTGCCCAGGGTCATCCCCTTAATAAAGAAATGGCCTCCTCTTTCCTTTCAAAAATGACCTAGATTGTGGGTGCACGGTCATCATGCTTCTTTTAGGAAGATGTATTTCCTCACACGATAATGCACAGTGTCACTCTGTTTTTCGGCTTCTGTGTGTCCGAAATGCGATCACTTAGGCATTCTCTCTCCAGGGAGAGAAAAACCACAAAAACGCTGATCACAGTGAAGTGTAGGAAGAGTAATGCAGAACGAAATCTATCTTTGAGCTTTCTTCTTCTGGTCAAGAAAGTTAATTTCCAGAACCATTTGTTTATATGCCTCCCCCACTCCTCCTTTTTGGGGGAGTAGGAACAGGAGAGATGAGGAGTCCAGAAGGAAAAGCAAACTGATTTTAATCTCGTGAAAGTGTGCAGCGTTTGTGCTTTTCAAAGACAGATCATCTAACCTTTTGAGCTACGTTAGAAATTATTGTTAATACTCTTGGTTGCTTGCCATTGTTGCTGCAACGCATACTTCAGGTCAGCTTTCTTTATCCCAGTAATGTGTCTTTAATTCTTAACTTCTGGGGGAGAGTTTGTGGTGGGAGGGAAAGGAAATGCAGTTCCTATGAAGCGTTGCTGACTCCAACAGTTCTTTAGCAGCAATAATTACTCATTTTATATATGCTTCTCTCAGAGGAACAAAGGAGGAAAGGAAAGTCCAAGCTGCTACAGAGGCAGCAACAGCAGAAAATTCTTGATGTTAAATTGTGCGGTACTGTTGTTGACTCTGAAAATAGATTCAGATAGGACTAGTGAAGCAAAAGAAAAATATCTCACGGAATGACAGCAGAACTCTCCCACACTTGTGTTTACTATGTTAGATGAAAATGAAATTTATTTCGGGACATGACAGGACTGAGGATTTGTAAAATTAGCTAGCATTCGAGGGATGTAGTATGTTCAGTGAGGAGGAAAAGAAAGTCAATGGAGGGTAGTATCTAAAACTATTTTTAATTTATCTTATTTTTTGTTGTTGAGAATATGGTATACACAGCAGAACATATACCAATACAACAGTTTCTACATGTACAATTCAGTGTCTAAAACTTTTTTATAGCCTGAACATTATTCTTATTCCTATATATTTGGATAGTAGATGTGTGATAATGATTGGGTTAAGGATTTGAAGATACTTCTCTGAAACTGAGGGAAATTGCATTATTTCCTTCTCTGGGAACCTTTAAGAATTAGATGGTTATAGTTTAGTCCTGTTTGAAACAAGATTGTTTGGATAACTGATTTTTAGAAATTCCGTCTGGCCTTGTTGTTGTTAGGTGCTGTCAAGTCGGTTCTGACTCATAGTGACCCTATGTACAATAAAATGAAATGCTACCCTGTCCTGCACCATCCTCACAATCCTTGCTGTGTTTGAGCCCATTGTTGTAGCCACTGTGTCAATCCATCTCATTGAGGGTCTTCCTCTTTTTCACTGACATTCTACTTTACCAAGCATGATGTTCTCCAGAGACTGGTCCCTGCTGATAACATATCCAGAGAAAGTGAGACAAAGTCTTGCCATCCGTGCTTTTAGGGAGCATTCTGGCTGTACTTCTTCCGAGACAGATGTGAAACCTATCTGTCATGGATGACCCTGCTGGTATTTGAAATAACAGTGGCATAGCTTCCAGCATCACAGCAACACACAAACCACCGTGGTACGACAGACAAGTGGTGGTCATCTGGCCTTCAGTTGCTCTTACATAGTAGACCTCGGACTCTTTTGCTTATACAGAGTGATTGGGCAGAGGATGGTATCAGAACAACAGGGTCATAACAAAGAGAAAATGAAAGTTTATTTGTGGGTGGTGCTATTAAGATGGAGAAGAGTTAAATATCTCTCACCATCTCTATATTTGACTCTGGAGATACATTACTGCAGCCATGCAGTTTTAAAAAATCATTTGAATCATATGATCCAACAGTTCCACTCCTAGGTATGTACCCAGGAGAAACGAAAACATACATCCACACAAAAACTTGTCCATGACTGTTCATAGCAGTGTTATTTATAATAGCCAAAAAATTGAAACAACCTGAATGTCCATCAACTGATGAATGGATAAATAAAATGTGGTATGTCCATACAATAGAGTATTATTCAGCAATAACAAGAATCAAGTACTCATACATGTTGCAACATGGATGAACCTTGAAAACATTATGCCAAGTGAAAGAACCCAATTACAAAAGACCATGTATTACATGATTCCATTTATATGAAATGTCCAGAACAGGCAAATTTATAGAGACAGAAAGTAAATTAGTGGGTGCTTATGGTTGGAGCAAGGGGAGGGAGGAATTGGGGTTGATTGCTGATGAGTATGGGGTTTCTTTTGGGGAATGGAAAATGTTCTAAAATTAGATTGTGGTGATGGTTGCACAACCCCGTGAATATACTAAAAAACGTTGAGTTTTACACTTAATTTAAAAGGGTGAATTTTATGATATGTGAATTATGTCTCAATAAAGCTGTTAAAAAAAAATCAATTGACCAGCCAGTGTTCTAATTAGCCCATAAAGTTTACCTTGGCTTGATTCATTTTTTTTTTTAAACCAAGATTGTTTCTTCCTCCAACCTAAACACACTGAAATCTTTTTGTTATTCTCAGAGGATAGCTTGATTTTTATAGATATGTCATTTATATGGTCTATGCTAAAAATCATAGCTGATATGATTTCAGGGTAATAGCCTTTGTACATGTCTCTACCAAATATTAAAGGCAAATATTTTTCAAAATGAAATGATAAGTGTGGTTGTTTACAAATTAGCAAAAGCATTGCCACTCTGGCTCCTAGCCATAATTGGCTTTGACTTCAATGACTGCTATAGTTGTTTTTCAGAGCCCTGGTGGCACAGTGGTTAAGAGCTTGCCTGCTAGCAGTGCAAATCCACCAGCCGCTCCTTGGAAACCCTGTGGGGGAATTCTACTCTGTCCTATAGGGTCTCTATGAGTCGGAATTGACTGGACAGCAATGAGTTTCAACGGGTTTTTATAGATGTTTTTCACTATGTCATCCCCAAATGTGAGGGACTTACTAAACCAACTCAATTTCTCTTCGGCTTGTTGTTGGTGCAGGATCAGCATTACGATCTATAATAAGTCATCCCTTCTCTAACATTTTGAGGTGCCCTGGTGGTGCGGTGGTTAAGCGTTCAGCTGCTAACTGACAGGTTGGTGGTTCGAACCCATCAGCTGCTCCGTGGGAGAAAGATGTGGCAGTCTGCTTCCATAAAGATTTACAGCCTTGGAAACCTTACAAGGCAGTTCTACTCTGTCTTACAGGGTCCCTATGAGTCGGAATCAACTCGACGGCAGTGGGTTTGGTTTTTTGGTTTTGGTCTCTAACATTTTACTGAATTCCTGCCTCCCAGGTGCCTTAAGATTCTTTCAGCTGAGGAGCATTTTCTTATTTTCCTGCATTGAGGAGGTGTGGGAGCCCACACCCGGAAGTAATAACTGTAGCAGGTTGACAAGATTTGGGGAAATAGTTATGCGTAAGTTAGATAAACAGTTTTATAGGTAAGCGGAAAATTTGTTATCAGAAACACTCTTGTCGCAATAATGTATAAAAAGCCCTGTCTGCCGAAGCACTGGCCTCACTTCTGGGTTCTCATCAGGAAAGCATAGACCTGTAATTGTATTTTTCATCTGAACCCACACCTCTCATTTGTAAGCACTGGTTTTGGAAACAACTGCCTTGGAAGCGAACAGGAAGCTAGAAAAAGACACTGGCAACACGGGAAGGAGAAGAGGGTAAACGGCCCTGAAAGATCAGATTTGTCTTTTAGAATAAGTGGGACCTATGTCATTGTTTTCATCAGTCT